TTTATTATATCCATAATATACTTTGAAGTGCAATAGTACCGAGGATGATACGATCTTACGTACAATAGTACCGGGAATAGTATAAATTCAAGTACAATTTTACTACAAAGAAATTGAGAAATGTAGATATCGAGTTTATGACACAACTCTTTAAAAAAATTTTTTTAATTGGTTTTTTTGGCTCTTTACTAATTATCAATATTATAAATGTTGGATAATTAGTAATAATAAGTATAGAACTTTTGATGGGGGTGTGACCGCCGCGAACTTTTTATGGTGGTTTACTCAGGAGGACCTCCTTTTTCAATCCCCTCCGCCCCCAACCTTTCGGGTAATCTAGACATTTACAAAGATTTTTAATAAGCATATCTCTTCTTCTTTAGGTATTTTTACATGAACAATCAAAAACATTTATATTTTCCCGAAATTATCGCGTTACTAGGTGAGAAGTTATTTCCAAAAGTTTCTATTCACCGCCGACTGTTCGAACAACAATATAAGCAACAACAGGGACAACATGAGCAACGAAAGCGGTAAAATTCTAGTTGTTACTTTGCCATTTAGGTTTGGACTGTTATCACACAATACCTAATATTTTGTTATCGGAATCGTAACACAAAGCTGCACAATAGAGGAGTCTTTATATGTATGTATTATACATATGAAACGCTCATAAAACGCATTGATATCGCACTGCTGCTTTTCTACATAATAGTATGTTAAAATCGTAAACTAAATAACGTGAACTACCTTTCTTTACACCCCATGACGTTATATAATATCATAAATAGTGATATAGGGACACCAAATACATTTTACACAGATATTACATTCTCAAAATTGAACTTGCAATTCCAAAGTGTACAGATTTGTGAAAAACAATTCCTAACATTCTCAGAGACATAAAACATATTCGTAGATTTAAAGGGACTGTAAAATATGTAATTTTAATTATGAAACCTTTTTTAAAAGTATTGCATTTTACTGTCTGTATGATTTTATGAACTTATTTATAGTCTTCCAATGTTTGTAGTGGCTTTATTAGATACCTTATACCTTACTCTGTAATTGGACTTTTCGGTCCGTGCTATCATCCTAAAGAAACAAATATGTCGATAAACATTTACGAAATTGTCCATTGCGTCGTTAATTTTAGGTTTTGGTATTAATTTTAAACGATTAGAGGTAAAAATCAAACAAATAATATTGTGAATTTTCTGCAAAGTCCAGGTAACGTAACAAACACACAACAACGAAAGAAAACTAGAGAAATCAGTACCATTCAAAGTTCAGGAAGTGATTTAGTTGCCCTTGTCATTGGTTTATTATTTACCTATCTAAAGGTGACACAATCTTGCAAATGCAGCGAGAAAATTAAAAATCGCTTACACAAACACTTACTTAACATATTATACAAACATAAATAAAAAAAAATCACTTATTTAAGCAACGACATGCATGCATATCATATCTACCTTGAATTGTCAATTAACATGTGGCTACTAATCGTTTAAGTTCAGCAGCTCTGCAACGTTCACTCACTTTTGTTTGTTCGCACACTAATAAAACAAAGTCGAAAGACGAGCGATTTAATATTAAAATATAATAACGCCGGCTGCGGCTCTTCCCATACATAAAACTGAATAATGCGCCACAAGACAATACATTTGAATGATTCACGACAGACAATATCTATCTGGCGTACATGAGGGAACGACAAGAATTTCCACCGCTACCATTCATTCCAACAGACTTGGGTGGTACCGAGAATATTAATTGATTCAAATGAATTCATTAGTCGAGTCAAAAACCGATTCGATTCAACCGCTGAATTGCACCGACGACGTACCTACCTCGCATGATAAACAACGCAAAAAAAATCAACTTAAAATTACTATTACTATTATGTAAAAACAAACACTACAAACAAAAGTTGTAGGTATTGAGTATATTGTCAAGTTTACTTCAAGAATTCGTTTAGCAGACAATTAGTAAACGAATTATTTGTTACAGTAGTAGACAAATGTCAGCAAGCACATTTCAATGATAAAAAGGAGTGAAATATTTGAGTAGGCATTTATCTGCATTCAATGACTTTGGTATGTGCAAAATGTTAAAGTAATATACATGTTTCATTCAACAATAAAACAACTTATTTATATCCTGCAGTCAAGTACGCGCTTAATCTGAACCCTGCCTGGTAACCCTATCAATTGAATGTCGCGTAACTACGTACACGTCCCATTTAAAAGCCGCTAGTTATGTACGTCATCTGAACCCTACCTGGTAACCCTTTCAATTGAATATTGCGTAACTACGTACACGTCCCATTTAAAAGCCGCTAGTTATGTACATCATTTGAACACCGCAAGATACACCCTTCAATTTAACGCTGCGTCGCCAGGTACGAGCTTCACCTAATTGTACCTAGATACACGTTCCACCTGAACATCCTTAGGGCCTAAATGACGCCAGGCACGCACTTCATCTGAATGCCACCAGGTATGCGCTAAATCAGATTGCCGCTAGGTATGCTCTTCAACTGAATGCTGCGTAGTCAGGTATGCGTTTTATTTGAATGTCACCAGATACACTCTTCAATTTTCAACAGTGTGTCGTCAGGTACGACTTTCATCCGGCTGCCACCGGTTACACGATCCACTTGAATGCAGTCAGGTACGCTCGTAAACACAGAACACCTCACCGCCAAGTATACTCTTCATTTTTTATTTGAAAGACACCAGGTACGCGCTTCATTTGAATGTGGCGAAACGCGCCCTCCAACTGAATGTCGCGTAGCCAGATGAGCGTTTCATTTGAATGCCGCCAGATACACTCTTTAATTCAACGGTACATCGTCAGGTACGACTTTCATCCAGCTGCCACCAAGTACACGATCCACTAGGATGCCGTCAGGTAGGCTCTTTATACAGAACGCCTCACCGCTAAATATATCCTACATTTGAATTACGCTAGGTATGCTCTTCATTTGAATGTCACCAGGTACGCGCTTCATCCAAATGTCGCGAAGTATGTCCTTTAACTTAAAGTCGCGTAGCCAGATGAGCGTTTCATTTGAATGCCGCCAGATACACTGCTTAATTCAACGGTACATCGTCAGGTACGACTTTCATCCGGGTGCCACCAGGTACATGAACCACTCGGATGCCGTCAGGTACGCTCGTAAACACAGAACACCTCACCGCCAAGTATGCTCTTCATTACGATAGGTACGCTCTTTATTTGAATGACACCAGGTACGCGTTTCATCTGAATGCCACGAAGTGTGTCCTTCAACTGAATATCGCGTAGTATGTCCTTCAACTGAATGTCGCGTAGCCAGGTATGCGTTTCATCTGAACACCGCCAGATAAACCCTTTAATTCAACGCTGTGTCGTCAGGTACGACTTTCATCAGATTGTCGCCAGGTACACGACCTACTTGAATGCCACCACGTACGAGCTTCATCCGAAAGCTGACGATCAAATTTTAGATCGCTTTTACTTTTCTAATTTCTTGAAGATGTTTAAGCTCTCAAAGTGTGATATGCGATCGGTCAAGACGTAGTTCGATGCTAGAACTACGCGTATAAAGACCCATGAAAGGTATAGGTAGTTTTACTATTTAATATGGTGCTAATTAGTTGTTAAAATTGGCAAACTGAAAACCTTGAAAAGCTTTTACCTACTCAAGATACTGTTGCTCGAAAACAAAAAATTAAATTATAACAAGACTGTTCAAGTTCAAAAGCCCATTATTTCAATTTGATAAAATAAATAACAAAACTTTGCGTAACATTATCCTTCAAGACAAAATATAAAATAAAATTTTCGACTTACATTAAAAAACACACATAATTTAAAGACTGGGACAGTTTTGAGTCTTGCTTTGGTCATCAATGTCTACAAGGTAGCCGAAAATTGATTATCACAAGTTCTATTATGTATTTTTTATATATTTTGATGAGAAACAATGACGCTGTCTAATTAATTATTGTACACATATATATTTATCTGGGAAGTAGCAGTTAAATTTTCTGTAAATAAAACTAAAATCGTAAATCTATTTTTAAAGTAGCAAAAGTAGAGCAGACATTGTTATTCACGAGTGTGCCTATTTTCTTTATTCTATGAGATGTCTACGTGCTCTATATTTTAAAATGGTTGTTATATTTTTTATAAACTAACAAACAGTAGCAATGCCTTTTAAGAAACAAATATGATACTACTTTTAAGCGTAGATGCGGCATACAAGAATATTATGAAATTATTAAATTAAATGTAAACACTTGTATGCTTTATCATCAAATATCGTTTGTTATGCATTCCTCAAATAACTTCAGTTATTACTATAGACATACATATACCATCGGCTACAAAGGAAAGAAATTTTAAATCATAACGATTTTATCGTTATGTAATGTTCCTTTAGTACAAAAAAATGTTGTATTAATTCTCGGTATCTATTAGTACCACCCAATATATGTAGCTATAACCATGAGTGCTGCGAGAAGGGTGTAAGAACGAAAGTTATTGCCAGCGTGCGTATTTATTTAAACGCGTTCGCTTAAAAATAAATTTGCTGAGCCTTTGTTTGAGTTTGGATACACATAAATTGCGACTGTTCGTTATAAAAATAGGGAATCCAACTTAGGAGGGGGGCGCTGTTGAAATTAAAAGGAAAATAGACTCACCTTGTGATGTCTTCGTGACTAATAGCCGACTGACTGATTGCACTTGGAGTTGAGGGTCTGTGAAGGGCCAGGGTTGAAGAATGTGTTGATTCTGGGTAATTATTAGGAACCTCAGAATCTGTAAAGAAGAAAATATTAGTCTCTACCTGACATAATTCAACACATAATAATTTCAACGTTTTAAACATGAAAAAGAAACAATAAATAAATGGATATACAGCTGTGGGTTAGAATAGTAAAGGGTAAAGGTAGTCACTGAAAACAATAAGGATTTCTACTGATAATAACAATATCACAATAAATATTGGGATCCGTCAAATGGGAGGAGCCTAAAAACATGGCGCCGATTAGGGAAAATTTATTGTAGTTCCTATAGTGTACCGTGCAATTTTTTTAAATTACGATAAAATGATAAGTATTGACACAATATGTGATTGGGCTGACACAAAGCCTCGGAAAGGAAATTTCGTTAAAGGTGAGCATGTTTTTAATGCCAATCACATTATAAAATTCGGAAATAACAAATCCGGAAGCTAGCCTTCAAATTCCATCAAGTTGACTGCCTACTTTTTACAAACTTCGAATTTAAAAAGTGATTCACGTTATATAATTGGTGAGGTGATTCTGGGTGATTTAAGCAATATCATATCAATGACTTGCACGTGCAAACCCGATTTAAGAGAACGTTGCAAACACATTATTGCAACCTTGTTGTATTGCAGCAGGTAGGTTCTTAACCTCAAAATACTTATATCGTATCATTAGAATTGTGTTAAATCAATTACACAGGAATAAATAATTTCTCACTTTATAATTTTAGTATGATTCTAGTTTTAAATATTAAGGTTATGGCTGATGGTAAATACTTGCTGAAATATAATCATGTGCATTAAAATGACGTGAACAAATTTTTATTCCGGAATTCACTTCTTTGATACCTACTGCTTTCATCCAAGCTTCTATTAGTTTACTTTTTTCTCTAATTTTCCGAATATATTTTTTACATATATAAAACGGTTAGTTTTTATTGGAAAGTAGTTAATGTAGGTGAAGAGTGAAGATCTATGTCTGAAGTGCTATTGCAGCTTTTCACTGAACATATTAACTTTTTATTTGATTTAACTTTAGAAGAAAACTTCGTCGACTCCATCATCAAAAAAATTTTTACTTTTTTAACGTGTTTTATTATTTTAATAAACAATTTTACAATTTGCGTGCACAGTTCCTATGTAAATTTTTCCCTCATTCGAGTTATAAATTTTGCCAGCAGATGTGTATGCCCATTTGACGGATCCCAATATGAAAATTTTTTGTTTTGTAGAATAAAGTCCACTTTGTCGATCTAAAATTTCTTGGATGTGATCGGCACGCGAAAGACGGTTCCAGTAGAACAGCAGAATTAAGCTTTAGTGTTTTTCAAAACTAATTGAATAAAAACATAAAAATTACACCATTTTAATGTACCTACTCACATTAAAAATTAGGGAAAACCGTGTTAATTATAACAAAAAGTCGGAAAAAGTCAATCGTTTTAAATGTTTTATGTCAATAAGCATACTCGGTCTACGTCTTGGTACTGCTAAAATACTTCTAGTCTTGGTCTTGGTCTTTAGTAACGGTATTGGTATTGAACGTGGGTGTTAAGTTGGTTTTGATCTTGCATATTTTGTATTGGTTTTAGTCTGTTTTATTTGTACGGCCTTGACCTTTCATTTCTGCAAGGCTAATTTTGCTCATCACTAACTATTTTCCAATTCAATCAACACTCTATTTCTACTATTAACGAAAGATGGTCCGGTATACCAAAAAAAAAAAAACAATAAACGAAAAAATACGCAAATAGAACTGCATGTATGTAAACGAAAATTGATAATATTTTAGCGTTATTTCATTAAAAAGGTCTACCCTAATTTTTTACCGTCACTTCAATACCGCGTAAATTAAATTAAAATCCAGCAGCCTAAGTTTTAATCAATAAAAAGCAACAAAAAAGTTATAAGCAGAATAAATTTCGTAATACTTTTACGAAATACATACTTCAAGCATGTTTTTTACCATTTTTCGTTGAGCTTCATAATATTTTTCTACAATTTCTCAACTGCAAAACTTGCGAGTGAGGTATTTCAAAAGAAAATCGACGAATAAAAAGGGAAAAATATTCGAATAGCATTCTAAGGGTGTATCTTTATTGTTGTGTATCTATCTACATAATTTTGACTTACGACGAAAAGTTATTAAATTATCACTGTCGCTGACAAAAAATAAAATAAAAAGTTAATAGCCAATGGTAACAAATTAAATGGTCAGTTATTACAAGAGATGCGGAAAACGGGTTTTTAAAAGTATTTAAATACAAAATAGATTTCCCTTTTCTATTTAAAATCCTAAATAAATACTTTTTTTGTAGTAAGAAAACCTTACACGCATTTGCTCAATTCTTAAGTATTGGAGTTATTCTAGACTAACAGTGGTGTGTTTGCACTACATCACCAGCTGCGAAGATTCATTATGATTCATATTTTTCTGTTTGAAGTGATTGAAATATAGTTTTTCTATCTTTATTTTATAGTTTCTTCAAATCAGTAACAAATAATTCTTCTATATACTTCCTTATTTACCTTCGACACCCGTTTTAATTGGAAAAAAGACACTGATGACAAAATAGTTTGTTCAGCGTGAAAAATCAGAGCCAAAATAGGGTTGCAAATAATTTTATTGATATAAAATCAATATCACTCTATATCAAAATGAAGAAATTGAATTCATAGTTTCTTTAGCTTTGGGTTCACCTAATAAGTGAAGTACTTCCAATCGTTTTTTAAGAATTTTGGATTATACGCACTTATTAGCACACCACAATATTTTGCAGTTTTATTCAGCTGGCGTATATCAATTCGATATTGTTTTGTATGATGTTTTGCCGTAATACATAGAATTTTGTAGTTTCTTGCTAAAGGTACGATAAGTGGTGATTTGGCAGGTGCTGATATCAATTTGGAAAATTCCATGGACCATAACATTGAACCCGGAAAACAATATCGATCTACTATTTTAGATTATCCATTCTCATGTAGTTTAGAATTTTTTGGGCTTTCTTTAGTTAAAGAAATAGCAGAATTTATAATGGAATATCTCTTTGTTCGCTCTTGAAGCCTCTAATACCTTCAATAGTCATTGTGAGCAACTTTCATTCATCATTTTATATAATGTTTGATCGGTGATACTAGCAGAACTTTTAACGGCAAAAATGTATTTTGCATTTTAAATGCAAGTATTTCAAATAAATGACATCTCCGGTTATTAAATCTATTTTCGGTCAGTATATGTATGTATAAGTCAACTAAATGGCTACCCTATAAACGATCAATACATAAACTAATTAGTCAGTACATTCATTGTTAATACTAACGCTTCATAATATTCCAACACTGACCAGATAGGGTTAACATACTGATCAATAAAAATACATGCCAAAGCTAGCAATTAAGCCTTGTTTAACTCGAATGTACCAATATTTTTTGGATATTTTAATGGTAATCAAAAAAATAATAACTGTAAAAGGATTTTTATCACCGATTTTATCTTTTGTTAAATGAATAACTCATGCAAAGGTGTGTTTAGACTAAACGAACTAGAACAAGGATTAGGAATGAAGGTTCCTAAATGACAATCGAAATTATGTTTATTATTTATTTATTTATGAATGCAACATATATATTTAAGAAATAAAAATATCAGTTTCTTCATTTGCAGGCGGTTAACAATAGCTTTAGGTATTCAATTAAGAATTGTTGCGAACAGACGCTGCGAAATATGCGTTCGCTTAGTCTAATCACACCTTTAGAGGGGATTATTTCATGTTTGTTCGAAGAGGATGTTACTGACAGAAAAACATAAAAATTATACATTTATGTATATTTTACGGGTACATTTTGGTGCAATGGGGAAGAAGAAACTCTCTTACCAAAGAAAAATAGTGCGCCAGCTGGACGCGACCATATCTTATCTAAAACTTAAATTTCAATTGTTAAGATGTGTAGTAAAATAGCAGTACAAATGGAAATGGAATGTCTACATTATTTATGTATGTGGTGTCAACCTCTTTGATTAGGTCTACCTCCACTCCTCCTAACTCCCGTTTCTGCCTCTGATATGTCTCTGACTAAACCTTCATGCCTGAGAAGGTGTCCTACCAACCTATCTCGCCTATTTCTTATTCACTTCCATAGGAGTCCTCTCTAACCTTCTCTATTTTAGATAATTTTTATAAATATATTCCACACAGGAAGAAGTTCGCATTTAATGTGAAAATAAAAAATTATACTTTAAAATACTCACTTCTACGCGGAAATTTTTAAAAAGATAAAAACCAATTTGCATAACTGCCATCATAATTTCATTTTACAATTTCTTTCACGACTAATTCTTAATTCATTACATCTTAAGAATAATCCTTTGAACAGCTGAAATATATAATTCCCCTCATAATAAATTCTTGCAGTTATCTTACATGAAGCAAGCGAGCAAGCAAAATCTCAACCCCTACAAATCATTTTCCAAGAACAATGTTAATTCTATTTTGTTTAACAGAGAGTAGAGTATCAGAAGGTCCTTTCAGTCCCCTTTTAGTAATCGTGAAAATGCTCCTTTTTGCCCCTGGTCTTACACTGAATATATATCTCTAACTAACCTCAAATCTCAGAAGGTGTTTCTTCTACATTTTATACCAGGCCTAACCCTACATTAATTTCCCTTATATAGGAATATCTTACTAATTTTTCTTCCATGTTCTATCAATACCACTTTAAGGTTATCTCTACAACACTTCCTTTCTGTGTGTTACTCTTTTGTCCCTCTATATATATTTAACAGAATAGCTACTGTTTTTACCGAGCGGCATGGCTTAGAGGTTTAGACCATTACTTAGCATTCGGGAGGACGCCGGTTCGATTCCGGTTCAGTCTGCCTTGGTCCAAGTTTTTCTATGGTTTCCTTGGATCCTTTAGGCAAATGCTGGGGCAGTAATATTCCACAGGTAATCTTTCATTCCCTTCTGTTTTCATTTCGTCCGTCTCATCTTTCTCACCCGAACCACCACCCACCCATTCCCACGATTCCTGAAAGCAGGCTGAAGAGGGCCTTCCGGCCTAGCTTCCGCCGTAGTCCGGAAGGACTGCTTGCCCACCAGCATTAGTAGCTGGTGGGAATGAAACACCCAAAAGTGTTTTTAAGTTATCGTGTCTTTAATATCTGCACCTTAATACGCATTACTTGGTTCCCTTATCCTTAATAAAATAAAAAAATAACTTACGTAGTTGCGGCGAATGAGAAGCATTCGATGAAGGAACACTAAAGGCACTCTCCGGCTTGGCAACAACAAGTATCACTCTTTCTTGGGTCGCTTTGAGGGTGGCCACGGCATCTTCATGGGTTACGTTCTCCAAATTCACTTCGTTACCCTGTAACAATGAAATACCACATTGATACACACATACAATTACCTTTTACTTTAGACCCCACGAATGTAGAAATAATAAAAAAAAAGCTTATTTAAAAACATCTAAAATTTAACTTTAAATTTATAAATTAGAGAAGTAAATATTAAGAAAAGAATTAGACAAGGATGCAATATCTAGGATGCTATAAACATCATTAGATAGGTCAACTTTAGTAATAGACATGCAGCAGCAAAAGATTACTATGCTTTGATTTGCGGATTATATGGGAAGCAGGAGTTAAAGATAGCAGAAATAAAAAGGAAACGGTATTGACAAAACAGAATTGTATGAAAATAAATAAGACCAAAACAAAACTATTGGTATGCGTGGGAAGAAAAGGTAAAGAAAGAGTGAATATAAAGATAGGAGACACAAAATTGAAGAAATTCCTGATTTTCCAAATCTAGAAAGTAAGATAATTCAGGATAGAAGCAGTGGAGAAATAAAACAAAGTATGGCGGAGGGTCTAGTCGCTTTTATGTTCCCGAAAAGTTAATTTATAAATTTAAAAATACTGTTAAATGCGTATGTCTAGAATACGGTTCTGTGCGGATGCGAAACGTGGATGGTTGGCATGGCGGAAAAGAAAAATGATGGGGATACTGTGGATAGAGAAGGTTAGAAATAAGGAGGTATTAGAAAAAGTAGGAGAATAGAGAGCGCTGTGGAAGTCTATAAGAAAAAGACGAGATAAGTTAGTAGGACACCTCCTCAGGCATGAATGCCTAGTAAAAGACATAGAAGCAAAAACAGGAGTTAGGAGGAGTTGAGGTAATTCTAGGCTAGATTACTGTTCACAAACAGTTAATGATGTGGGATGTTCTTGTTTTAGTACGTGTCCAACCAGTGTTAGGACTGACGACAGTATGATGTTGAATGGTAGACATTTCAACCGATGCGACCACCTAGCTATTCTTGAAAACGTTTCAAGCAGTTGTAGCCGAACCGGGCGAACGTACCACAGAAATCATCCCTAAGCTCATTTATATGTAAGCAGTAGTGATGAAGTGATTACCGAACATTGGCATACTCTATGACATCGTCAAAGGGATGCATCATCTTTTGAAAAACACATAGTTAAAAGGCTGCAAGTAAATCAGGCGGTGTTCTGTCGGTTCCGAAAGACCCTTGACCAAGAACTCTGTTCTTTTTCTACACCCATGTATTAAAATGAACTGTTTATAATATTTACCGAAAACAACCTGAGACGATAAGTACCTATATACTTAATACAACAAAGGCATAAAATTATTTATTTAATACTCTTTCTGGAAAATAAAATTGAATTATTTTTCGCATTGATTTTCAATTTAATCCAACAGCCCGAGTCACGGACACTTTTAATTACTTCGGGACTTCCTTAAATTTATTTCATAAAATTTGACGATGAAGAGATTGCCCCTGTACCATTTCGATTTCGCGTTCTTTTATTCCTCCCGAGATCGCTAACTAAATTACGAGATCTTTTATCCGATGACCCCGTTTTCAACAATAGCTCCAAAAAGGTCGAATACGACCGGAATTTGAATAAATGGGAAACGGAGACATAATGTACAAGAGCACACTCACAAAGGGCACGTGAGCATTGCATGTTAGAAAACGATTTTAGCAGTTGATTCGCGTGATTGTACCTACACGAGAGGTCTTTTCGTTGGCCAAAATGAAGTTTACATAAACCATGTTGTGTACATGCCAACATATTTTATTTTTCATTGCGTAGGTACCTATGTATTAGGTACCAACCTAATAATCATAAGTAAGCTGCCCTTTCTGCATATAAAGAGGTTTCTCTGTAAAATACGCTCTTTTGATACGAGTTATGCATTACTTGAATCCTTTGACCATAAAAATTCATAGCGAGTTACAAAGGTGATCCAAAAAAACAAATATTTTTTTTTCGAGTCTCCTGTGAAAATATGTTTTAAGAGCCCTCTCCAAAGGACATCTCAAAAAAAAATTTAAGAGGTCGCTCAAAATTTTAAAAAATCTTCAACATCGTCGGTAATCGATTTTTGCTTATTTTCTTTTTTCGTTTTTTCTACAATAAAAATGATAAAGATCCTGAAACTCTTGGCCAGTAGTTTGATATTTAAAGGTCGTTTAAGATTTTTTAAATTTCCGAGTAGAGTAGTTTAGATCATTTAAAGATGAATATAAATAACTTTTATTTTTTTTGCGTCTCTCTTGCCTTATTTTTATTTTTTAGTAGGTCAGCTTATCACTTCGATACTCAATGGTCTGCTGTGACGCTTGGTGCAAGAGAGAAAGAGTGTCCCTTTATGTATCTCCCTCATTACTGATAGTTTCGTCCTTAATCAAGTGACATCAGCGCGATTACTCTTGCATCTTCTTCTACTACTCCATTCTACGGCTGTCACTATGTTACTAAAGGTCATAGCCCACAAGATTGTAAACTACCTCTACTTTAAACGGCAAATCGGGCATTTTTACCGTTTTTCTCTACAATTTTTAACCGAGATATGGTTTGGACCATAGTTAATCGAGCAATGGACCAAAACACAAACAAACCCCTAGTAGAATCTTTCTACTTTTCATACCTATCAGATACGAACGCTTACGGGAGAGTTATTGCCCCACAGACCTAAACCTTCATGTAAAGTTGGAGGGTAGGGCTTACATATAAGGATCATGGGAATGGGTTGGTGGTGGTTGGTCCCATCGACGTTTACTCAGAGTCGTCTTAGACCATGCCGGGGCCCTTGGGCACACAGGAATTTGGGGCCCTTTTGAACAGTTAAGTGAATGATTCAAACATTTGTCTGTTTTGACTTTTTAATTAAATCAAATATACTTTGTAGATGTTCGCCTAATTAATTGCGAATATTTTAGGGGGTGGTAGTACTGTCGATACGAACAACTTTTACTATGGTGTCGATTCCAGTCTTTATACCCATTTGGAGAACTGAAATTATGTCCAGTACCAGCACTCGTATTAAATAGACGACAGGAATAACAGTACACACATTTCTTCGACGGTGAATAATGGAGCCATTTTCTTTCTATAGACTCCCCATTCGTCAATTTACGGGTGAAAATATTTTTAGTCAAGTGTCTAATTTTTGTTTTACCACTTAAATCTGGAAAACTTGTAGAAGACTCAAAAATGTCACAATNGTACACACATTTCTTCGACGGTGAATAATGGAGCCATTTTCTTTCTATAAACTCCCCATTCGTCAATTTACGGGTGAAAATATTTTTAGTCAAGTGTCTAATTTTTGTTTTACCACTTAAATCTGGAAAACTTGTAGAAGACTCAAAAATATCACAATTCTTATTTTGGAAAAACTCTGGTCCTTTCCGAATCCAAATATACCGTATTTCTTCCGTTAAAATTTCATCACGGTACGTACCAGGATCACGATAAGGACCTGGAGATATATTCTCCAAGCTTGCTGCTATTAACTCACATTAGTTTGAAGTGGAGGGTTTAGCGTCTGATGGGCTCTTTTTCCTGTTGATATTTAGAAGTATTTTGATCTTGAGGTGATGGGAATGAAGAATCAGTCCCATCAGTCCGTTTGTTTGTTTATTCAACCATAAAAAATGAAGTGAGCTTGCGAAGCTTTTTGGTTACTTCTCTTTGAGCTACAACTTCTTTTCTTTTTTGTGAACCACTTAATTATGTTCTTTTCGATATAATGAAATGATTTGTTATCATAACGATCACCCCAAAGTTATAACTTCTGTTGTTCTTCTATAGAGATGGTGTAGTAGTGTAATTAATTAGGGTGTATTCTGCATTCGGAAAAAAAGAGTAATGTAAGCAAATAATATCGGTCTTCCGGGGCCCTCGTGAGGACGGGGGCCCTGGGCACGGGCCCCATGTGCCCTTATGGTAAAGACGGTATTGCGTTTACTAATGGACATGCCTTAGCGGTTAGAATTGTGGTACAACAAAAGAAAGAGATGAAATGAAGTCTAGGACAATATCCATCTCTCTCACGATAGTGCGTAAGCGTGTCATAAAAGAGATAGCACTAGTCCGAAACCATAGGCCATCTCCCTCACTTTTCGGGCCAAGAAATTATTACAACGACATACGGCTAAGGCACGTCCATTAATATATGTCTATGGTTGGTCCGAGGTAAATCATAGATGATACTGAAGAAAAGACTGAGCAAATTTACCGGCCCAATATTAAGGAATCAAACGGATATCCTTCTGAATGCTAAAAAATGGTCTCCATCTCTGGGACATGACTTTGTATGTCATTATAATCATAAGGTCGTCAGTCCTAAGACTGGCTGGACTACTCTAGTTTCTTTGTATTATTTATAATGTTGTACTAATCTGTGGTCAAAATTCAGATATGGATAGAGATGGATTTAATAGGGATCCAGCAAACGAAATTACGATCGAAAAATATAATAACCCAGCTGGTCAAGGTAAGATGTCAAAATACTATCAAGACGTTTACATTTTAACTTCATTATCACAAAGCAAATCGTTTTATTTTCAAAATTGGTAGATGATCGCCATAGAGAAAATAAGATACAGTGGGTAATTCCCATGTAGTGAGACCCCTCTTCCTCCTCTGTCTTTGTTTAATAGTGATTCTTATTAACCAGCACGAGTATGCATATTACAAAAACAGAGGCGAAAGAGTTACAGAGAAAGAAAGCCCTTTTATTTTCTATGTCTTTCTTTTTAAGAAACGCATTTGCGATGAGCTACCGTACTCTGTTCTATTATCTTTATGATTATCGTACACGCATGTTAATGTTAATAATTGAATGCATATTACATTTTGTTGTTATTTGTTGAATAATGAGTAGATTGTATAATGTCTTTTTTTATTGCTTTTTTTGTGATGAATACACAATTACCATAAAACAAAACATTGAACCTCAAACAAAAATTACTGACACGTAAAAAAAGGGGGCGTACGCTGTCGCTGTCTCGGTAACAATATTCAATATTTAAAGGAAATAATTCATAACAATTTCCACGTTTAGCGTCAGAAATTGCAGTAAAATAATAATTAAACTTCGATTGTAAATCATACGTGTCGAGACACACACACACACACACACACACACGCGCGCAAAGAGGTTTCTTCATTTGAATTATTAAAGCCCCAACCGTATTTATTATAATATATAATTCAGTTGAAATAAGAAGGCAAAGTCTCCAATAAATAATGCACACTAAAGGCATATCGTTTTTTTCGTTCTTACAAACGGAAGATATCCTGTCTTTACTCTCTAAACACGCCTCCTCCACAGCTGCGTCGAGACCTGCACCTACGTTTCATAAGAATCAATCGAATAAAATGAGACGATCGACAACATGCTTGTCTTGTCATTTTTGTCTACATAAAATGGGCAAATTTACAGGGTCGGCTTAATTTAGTTGGTGTATTTGTTCGAATAGTCATCTCTCTACATATATATCGTTTAAGTTATTTTTTCGTTGTAACTATTGTTTTCGTTGTTTTTGTTGGTGCTATTGTTATTTTTGTTGTTAACTTTCAAGGAAATGGTCAGAGTAGAAAACTTGTTTGGAATGTTATTATGTAATTATTTTCAAAGTAGAGAAAACAATCTCCGTTATAAACATAGTGGCGGAGGTTTTGAACATTAGTTGCAGAACCGTATCCCGGATACTTTACTTATTTTAATAAGGTGGAACTTTTAATTTAAAAACAAATGTATCTAAGTATTATTTTGAAAAACAATTATTTTTATGAAATTAAAAGTAAACAATAACGCATTCATTTCTCATCAATGCAGACTATTTTTTACTTATTATATATTCTTTTTTTAGGTTTCGAGGAAGAGGAAAGCTCCAAAGACGGACGTTTTAATATGAAATACAGTGTTGCACGATTAATCAATTCAATTCAATTCGATTCAGTCTGTTTTGATGTACAATCGAAATTATATAAATATTATTGCATTGAATTATTTTAGATCTTACAATAACTTTTTCACCATACTGTAGCACGACTATTACCTTAAGCCGATCCTGTAAATTTGCTCATTTAATGTAGGTACAGATAACAAGACAAGCACGTTTTCAACCGTCTCATTCTATTCGATTGATTCTTATGAAACGTAGGTGCAGGCCTAGACGCAGCTGTGGAGGAGGCGTGTCTAGAGAATAAAGACATGATATCTTCCGTTTGTAAGAATGAGAAAAACGATATGCCTTTAGTGTGCATTATTTATTGGGGACTTTGCCTTCCTATTTCGACTGTACTATACATATAAGTAATGGTTTACTCACCATGGGATCTTTGACAGCGACCAGCTTGTCACCAACAAGTAAACGGCCGTCAACTTGTGCAGCACCGCCGTCCATCACCTTGGTAACGTAAATACCATTATCGCCGGGGATGTGCTGATTGCCAATGCCTCCTGCGATACTAAAACCGAGACCCTTGTTGCCCTTAACCAGGTCGATTTCCATAAGTCGTGTCGCTCGACCTGATCTTCTTCGGCGCCGAACTTGCTGGAAAGAAAAAAATAAATATGAAAATCAAGACGAAAACAAAACAAAAACGGAAAATTTCATAAGAGATACCTAAAATTACCTAACAGAAAGGTACAAAAGGGTATAAAACGCACATCAGAAGGTATACGAAACGAAAACCTACATGAATATACAATAAAAATTGTTGGCTCCGGAACTACAAGACGTGGAAGTTGACAACTGCACCTACCTGCTACACTTTCCTTCGCTGCCTCAAACAGTTGCCACTCGTTAGGACCTACATTAACTGTTTTCAATGGTATTTTTCCTGTTTTTTCATCAGACTTGTTTAAAACGTCTTCCTCCTGATTATTTCATGAAAGTTTTCCATAACTGGACAATTTTAAGTAATTTCCAAGAAAGAAAAGTTAAGTAGTTCTTAGGCTTCCACGGCCGGCGTCTATCGATGCTGTGTTTTCTTCCGGGCTTTTTGGCCGTGGTCCGTGGAATTTTGCTTTTCCAGACGTTTCGCCGTTCTTTGCTGACGGCATCTTCAGTGGTGATTGGGCACATCATGTTACGACTCAGCACCTGCCCAGTCACCACTGAAGATGCCGTCAGCAAAGAACGGCGAAACGTCTGGAAAAGCAAGATTCCACGGACCACGGCCAAAAAGCCCGGAAGAAAACACAGCATCGATAGACGCCGGCCGTGGAAGCCT